AAAAAAATCAGACCATGATAATTTTTTATACAAAGTTAACAAAATGTTTTTTTTTTTTTGGTCGTGTTTTTTACACACAAATCATTTTGGTTCGTGTTAAGGTCCTTCTAAAATTAATTTGCTCAGTTTAATCATTCCCCTGTTTACGACTTACGTTGTTGTTCGGTGTACGGTCATACGTTTACAATCGAAGTGTATTTGATCCAAAATGGATAGTGGAAAAGAAACGTATATTGCGTATGAAAATCGTCTCAATGAAAATTCAGGTAAGAAATAAAAACTGNTCAATGAAAATTCAGATAAGAAATAAAAACTGTATGATATGACAATCGAAACTAATTTTACGTGAAATTACTTTTCCATTTTTCTCGTTTAGGATATGATGTTTGTGGATTTTACTGTTCGACGTCTAATGATCAGCAGACTAGAATTAAACTCCCTAAACACAAAGAGTTTGCCGATTATAACACTCGTTTAAAGACTTTTGAAAACTATCCAAAAAAATTGGAATCAAAAATATCAAGACTTTGTGATGCTGGATTTTTATACATAGGTATGGGACTATACAGTATTGAATGCATTATTATGATTGGTACATTTATTCAAATTCATTATTTATAAGTGTATATAATTTTTAGGTAATGGACAAAATGATCAAATGTTATGTTATTGCTGCAGTCAAGGTTTGAAAGATTGGGATGATGAAGACGACCTATGGGTAGAACACGTACGTTGGTCTCCTAGCTTTACTCATGTATTANGGTCTCCTAGCTGTACTCATGTATTGTTATGTAAGGGACAGTTATTTATCCAAAATAATAAAATAACGAAATAAGACTACTATTATTTGTTATTCTTATATAGTATTGTAGTTTGAAAAATAAATAAAGATTTTTAATATTGTATCTTGTGTGTTATATGAAACTGTATAAAAGATACAGTGTGTAATAGATATAAATATCAATTTTCGATTTAGTAAAAAAACATAATATACTACCAAATTTATAATTTGTATAATATAAGAGGGTTTGTGTATTCACAAACGATCAAATCTACAAAATATGGTGACATGGTATAGTTGGATCAAGTATAATGATATCTGACAGTGATTAAAATCACTATCAAAAATAAACGCTTCGATGCAAATCTTTAGATAGTGTTTAATTTTAAAAAATTGGTGGATTAGTCCAAAAGCTACATGATCTGCTAGTTCCTTAGTCCTTAATATCCTGATTAAGATAAAGTATGTCAAATGAAAAAAAGTTTATTAAAAAATATTATTTCTCATAAAAAAATTGTGTGGGTCCATAAACTTTTCAATAAGTTATAGCATTATAAAGTTAAATATAATATGAATAATAAAATCGAGAATTTTCACACGAAAATAGCATTCGGTAGCCATTTTCGCCGTGAAGAAAAGTCCAGAGGTCAAATTTTTTTTTTTCAAATTAAAGTATATTACATTAGCTTTAATTTAAGATATATATAAAAGTGTCAGACCTTCCGGAACATTTTCAAAAGTTATGTTGAAAAAGTAAATTTTTTGTGAAAAAGTTGTCATTTTAAATCCCCCCCTGTGGGCAGAATAAATGTCAGATTTACAAAAAAAATATACCAAATGATAAGTAAAGACATCAAGCATCTATATAAAAAAAAATTATATTGATATGTTCATTTTTGAAAAAGTTAGAGCATTATTAAGTTAAAAATATAAAAAAAAATTATTTTACAAAAATCGTAATTTTTTATTAACTTTGATGTCAACTTTCACCACGAAGACAAGTCCAGAGGTCAAATTTTTTTTTTTCAAATTAAAGTATATTACATTAGCTTTAATTTAAGATATATATAAAAGTGTCAGACCTTCCGGAACATTTTCAAAAGTTAAGTTGAAAAAGTTCTACTTTCTATATGAATTTTTTATATTTGAAGCCCCCCCATATATAGGGAAATAGTCTGCTTTAAAAAAAAAGTATATCCAATGAAAGATGTATATAAATACTACTTTTCATGAAAAAATTGTATTGATCCATATATTTTTTAAAAAGTTATATTACTTTAAAGTAAAAAATGTCAATTATAAAATCAAAAATTTTCACACAAAAATAGTATTCGGTAGCCGTTTTCACCATGAAGACAAGTCCAGAGGTCAAATTTTTTTTTT